GTGTTCATCTACAACTAAAAAAAATTTTTTTTTAAAAAGCACCATGCATGTATTATCACATTTAAATCCAACATCTACATGATATATTATCCTCTCGACTTTACAAACAAGGAAAATGAAGGAGAAGCAGTAACTACCCAACTTACAAAATAACTGGTGTGGCTTAGGAACTAGAGTGGCTGGGGTTAAAACCCAGGCACTTTGGTTCTGGAGCTGACAGCCCTAACCACGCAGCTCTATATGCTCCTGAAATTGTGTGGGAACAAAACTTCAGCCAAATCAGTAGCTTGAGGCAGCTGGAAGAAACTGTCAAAGGAGACTTCAGACAGCTGAAATAGTTCTGACAGAGACAGAAGGTAAAGTGGTGGAATGAGTTTGCAACAAAAGAGACTGTCTTTTTTTTTTAATATTTATTTTTTAGTTGTAGTTGGGCACAAGACCTTTATTTCACTATTTTTATGTGGTACTGAGATCGAACCCATGGTCTGGCACGTGTGAAGCAAGTGCTCTACTGCTAAGCCACAACCCCAGCCCCAAAGAAGACTGTCTTTAAGTAAGAAAATCATGCTTGGTAAATAGATAATTAGCAAAGCCTCTTCCTCAGAGTGGGAGGTTTCTTGTATTTGCTAAGATACATGATATTTCTAGTTGTTTATGCCACTTTTATTTAATATTCTACCATTCCTGATTTCTAATTCTAGCTTTTACTTCACAAATTATTATACTGATTATTCCCTATTCAGCTGAAATAAAAATACTACTCGTTAGGACAAGGTACCTTTCTATATCTTAAAAGTACTTTGCACTCAGTACATTTATTATATGTATACTATGAAAATCTGTTCTTATTCTCATGAAGATATCTATAGTCAGAGTGACACTTTATTATACATCTTCTTCAATGATGAAACTACCAATATTTTTTATTAAGATTAATTTCTTCATCTCCTATTTCTACAAAGAAATTTAAAATTCTAATTTTACCCCACTGCATGAAAGAAAAAAGTTTTTTTCTTGCTGGTAGATGACGCCAAGAAGCCAAATAGCCAAGTAACAACTAGATCTTTATGTCTCACCTGTGAGCTCCTGCTTTAAAAAAAAAAAAAAAAGCTTAGGGCATTTTGTAAAACTGTGAAGTTGTATAAATTAAATATGAATATTTGCAACATATACCAAATCCTTACTTCATAGCTTTAATATACATTTATCTATTTAATATTCAGTATCTACTTTAAAGAAAGAAGCTAAGTTCTCACTCCAAATAAATGCATAGTATTCAAACAAGCAATTAAATTTTAAAATGTGATTATTTTCAATTTCTTTGCAAGATCACACTTTCGGGCGGGTATGTGTTGATCACTGTCTATTTCCCTCTGTACCAGTCTCATGTATTTATCTGAATACATTTATTCTTACAAAAAGGTTACACAGAATATTAAATAACAGCCAGATTCTCAGCATACAAAGATAAAAAGGCACAGTCATTTTTTCTTTTAGTTGTAGATGGACACAATACCTTTATTTTATTTATTTTTATATGGTGGTGAGGATCAAACCCAGTGCCTCATGCATGCTAGGCAAGCGCTCTGCCACTGAGCTACAACCCCAGCCCAAAAGGCATAGTATTAACTCTATAGGAGATCACAGGCCAGTAGGGGAAGAAAGACAAATAAATATAGTATTAAAATTAACATAGAGGGAATGCCAGAGACTCCACATAAATGACACTAGAAAAGATGTTTATTCATTTAATATACCTTTATGGAACACTTACTAAATACCAGCAACTATGTATAAAGACTATTGCTCTCTACAGCTGGCCACACCTATAATCCCATCTACTCAGGAGGATGAGGCAAGAGGACTGGATTGCCAATTTAAGGCCAATCAGAGAGATCCTGTCTCCAAAAAAAAGGGGGGGAGGGGAGACGACGACACACACTATTGCTCCTCTTGTAGCAGTGATCTCTTCAAACTTTGTGGAGGTCTTCCTACCCCTATTATATCTCTCAGTATTTCCTTTTAAATAAAATATACATGTATATACAGATAGAAATATAAAACACTTCTGAAAATGTTATCAAAATGTTTACAAAATTTGAACATTTCATTACACCTCATGAGACACATGCTCAGAAAGCAGGATTTTAATGAGAAGGGCTATGGTGGCACAAAAAATGGTGAGACTCAGCCTATAATTACAATGACCAAACCTTGGGCCCAAGTTATTATCTTTTGCCCCTTAAAAAAAAGAAAGAAAGAAAAGAAACTTGAACACAGGGATAAAAGAAGACCACATATAGAATTTTAACCTAATTGGGTTTTCTTTGTTTTTGGTACTGGAGATTTAAAAACTCACCGGTGCCTTACCACTGAGCCACATCCCTAGCCCTCTTTTTGTTTTTTATTTTGAGACAGGGTCTCAAAAAGTTGCTTAGAGCCTCACTAAATTACCCATGCTAGCCTCAAACTTGAAATCCTCCCACCTCAGCCTCCAGACACCATGGGATTATAGGTGTGCACTGCCAACCCCAGCTTAATATAACTCCTTTATATCTTACAAAGAAAGTCTACTACATTTGATTGACATGGCTGGAAAAACTTGAATTTGTTTTACTCAAAGTTCAGCCAAGTCAGTCTTCAAATATCTTCTGGAACAAGTTAGATTAATTTTTTCAGAGATCTATAATACATAACACACTTTCCATAAATGAAAAACATGAGGACATCACAGCAGTTCCAACAACAAAACAGTGTAATCCATAAAAGGAGCCAGGCATGATGGCACACCTCTCAGAATTTTGGGAGGCTGAGGCAGGAGGAACGTGAGCTTAAAGTTAGTTTCAGCAATTTATTGAGGATCTAAGCAACTCAGCAAAACCCTGTCTCTAAATAAATACAAAATAGGCTGGATATGTGGTTCAGTGGTTAAGCACCCCTGGTACCATAAATAAACAAACAACAACAACAACAAAAAAGAAAGGCATCTTTTGCAGAATCTGGCAAGAGCATATACACACCTGTCTCTTCTGGTGAGAGAGAGAAAGACAGAAACAAATACATGCTCAGAAAGCAGAATGATCAACAAAAGAGGAATACATAAAACAAAATGAACTTTCCCTGAAAGTTCTCCTCAGAATTAATGTCAAACAGCTATCATATGCAGAATGACCCTAAAATTCTCTCAAAGTCAGGATATACTCAACCTCACCACAAATATGCCCTCCACAAAATAGAATGGCAGAGAAATGAGAGTGCTGAATCTCTTTGACCAACACTCCCTGCTTTTCTTCCTACCATTTGGTAAAATAAACTGTTGTTCAGTATACTTGCTGCATATTTAACCATTATATCACCACAGTTCTGCAGAGGAAAAAAACTGTGGCTAAGTAGTAAAACTACCCTCTGAAATTCAGATAAAGAAAAGACATACATCTTAACTTCATCCTAAAGAGAAGTAATCTGAGGTTGGGTATGGTGGTACAAACCTATAATCTCAGTTACTAAGGAAGCTGAGGCAGAAAGATTGAAAGTTGTAGTACAGTCTGAATAACTCAGTAAAATCCTGACTCAAAATAAAATTAAAAGAACTGCTAATGTAGCTCAGTGGTAGAGCACTTGCCTACCATGTGCAAAGCCCTGGATCCATGTCCCCACTACTGCAAAAAAATTTTTTTTTAAATGAACATGCATACATAAACAGAAATAATCCTAGTTCAGATGTTCTAACTAAAGTACATTCTTGCTGGGCACAGTAGCACAGGCCAGTAATCCCAGTGGCTCAGAAGGCTGAAGTAGAAGGATCCTGAGTTCAAAGCCAGCTTTAGCAACTTAACGAGGCCCTAAACAACTTAGCAAGACCCTGACTCAAAATATAAAAAGGGCTGAGGGCTGGGGATGCGGCTCAAGCGGTAGCGCGCTCGCCTGGCATGCGTGCGGCCCAGATTCGATCCTCAGCACCACATACAAATATGTTGTGTCCGCCGAAAACTAAAAAGTAAATATTTAAAAAAATTATCTCTCTCTCTCTCTAAAAATATATATATATATATATATATATGTATATATATATATATATATGTCTGGGGATGTGGCTCAGTGGTTAAGCACCCCTGCATTCAATCCCTGGTACCAAAAAATAAAAAAATCATTCTTTGTTTTCCCAGAAACCCGTCTTCTTGGATAGTGACAAAAGCAGTTCTTACAATATTAAACTTCCTATTAATATGTAAACGTGCATGAGGTTTATCCTCCAAAAGTAATCTAGTTGAACCACCAGAGAACCAATGTGGTGGCACATGTTTGTAATGTCAGTGACTTGGGAGGCTGAGGCCCTAAGCAACCTGGCAAGACTCTGTCTCAAAACAAAAAATAGAAAGGGCTAGGTATATAGCTCAGTGGTAAAGTGCCTCTGCACTGAATCCCCAATACCAAGAAAAAAAAAAAACGGGGGTATAAAGGGGCAGAGAATCTGGAAATTAACAGCATTTGTCAATGTTTAAGCAATCTTGGACACGCATTTCTTGAGTAAATGTGAAATAAAGATGTGAAACTTCACTCTATCTTCTGCTATCCCATTCTTTGAAAATTTCACTTCTTTTCTATAGCACCAGAACAGTTTTAAAATTTAGCATTCTTAATATATGACATAAAAATTAGCCTGCACTAAATGAAATCATAACCCCAAAGAAAATAAAATATCTGCCTTTCTCATTATTTACCTTCTAGAATAGAAAAGGGGATCTCTCCAGCCCCCTGTGCTAGGGACTCAAAATCAGGGCCTTCTGCATGGTAGACAAACACTCTACCACTGAGTTATCCCAGTCCTTTTATTTTTTGAGACAAGATCTTTAGTCTAAATTGGTGAGGCTGGCCTTAAAGTTCCAATCTTCCTGCCTCAGCCTTCTAGGAAGTTGGGATTACATGTGTGTACCACCACACCTACCAGAAAAGACAATTTTAAAAGGCCTGAGATCACTAAGAAATAATTTTCCCCCTCACGTCATACAGGTAATGTGCCGATGTTGTAACAAGGTTTAGAGGGAGGCACATCTCACACAATAGCATGAACACCCAATCATCATCGTGCTTACGAACCGAAGGATCTAAGAAATAATCTTTAAAAATCACCCCTAAAACAAAAAATTGGAAAACCACAGTAACTCAGAAATACTCAGTTTTCAAGTTAATCAATTTCTTAACTTTATTTTCTGATGAAACATCCAGTGAGATTCAAATACTCCCTATACGCTTTTGGTTACTGCCTGATTTCTTTCTTTTTTTTTTTTTTTTTTGGGGGGGGGGGTACTGGGGACTGAACTCTGGGGTACTCAACCACTGAGCCATGTACCAGTCCTATTTTGTATTTTATTTAGAGACAGGGTCTAACAGAGTTGCTCAGCACCTCATCTTTGCTGATCCTGGCTTTGAACTTGCAATCCTCCTGCCTCAGCCTTCTGAGCTGCTGGGATTACAGGCCTGTGCCACCCGGCTTGATTTATTTCTATAGCAACAGACACCCAGAACACAAACAAATAATGCCTACTTTTTTTCATCATTTTCTGTATTGTTCCAATTTTAGTATATGTGCTGCTGAAGCGAGCACTTTCATCATTTTCTGTAATTGATGTAGTTGTAAGTCATATGATACATGGTACAGGCCATGCCAATTTAGTTTCTAAAAGTTAAGGACAGGGGTTGGGGTTGTGGCTCAGTGGCAGCACGCTTGCCTAGCATGCATGAGGCACTGGGTTCGATTCTCAGCACCATATACAAATAAGTAAAATAAGGTCCATCAACAACTAAAAAATAAAAAAAAAAAAAAAAGTTAAGGATATATTTGTTACACAAAAACAACTTATAGAAAAAGAATAAGCCCCTACAAGTTTACCTTGAAGATAAAGGAGAAATATGAATGACTTTCCTTTTTTTTTTTTTTGCCAGCCACCAAAAAAGGAACTATGACCTGAAAGGACAGCTTGTCCTGAAAACAGTCACTACCTCTAGATATTTGCTCAGTAAATAACATAAACCATGAAATGATTCACACATGCTGTGTTTAGGTCTTTAAGTGAGTTTAAACAGTCATCTGAAACCTGAAGACATAATGTAAATGCTCCAATTGCCACAGTCCTCATCAGGTTGATTTCCTCCATGACCCTTCTCTGGACCTGCGATTAATGTTTTGATTCAAAAAGGCCAATCTCTTAATCAACATATGACCTCTTTTCAAACAGTCAAACTTCAGATTTATGAAATTTCATATCTAGGAATAAAAGCTTTAGATTAAGAGCTGGTATTTTAAAATACTCCCCATAAACACATTCTTCACTCTCCCACCACTACATTAAAGTTCTGGCAAGACCTCTTCTAAGCATTTAGTTACCCCATCTGTACCAACCAAAGTTAAAGCACAGAAAATTCTGTTTTCGTTTCTGAATTTACCTAAGAACACTGGTGTAAGAATGGTAAACTGACCCACACAATTAAAAAGGAAACATTAATAAAAACAACTATGCCTAAGTCACCAGGAACGATGACTTAGTTAATCATCTTAGTCATCAGATGACTTAGTCTGCATCTTAGGGCTAAGTTTCTAAAGACCTGAATTGTCATATCATCAAATCATTTCAATCAAATTAAAATTCCTATATATAAAATATTCACTTTCAGGCATACCCCTCTCTTTATTATGTTTAATAAAACTACATAACGACAACAAGATAATTAGAGTCAGAAATGGGTGTGTGTCTAGGTATTGCCACTTGGGCCTAAATTCCCTAACCTTCATTTTTCTGTGTGTGAAAATATCAAGAATTTCACCCCTAATGCACAGGATAGTTATGAAGTTTAAATGAGAATATAAGTACTTTTATTTTTTTAATGTACAAATGCTTTGCAAACTTGGCCTTATAAATGAAAAGGGAGGCCACAGTACAGGGTAACTAACAGGGTCTGGACTTGGTTTCTGGAGTTCAAATCCTGGTTCAGCCTCTCACTGTACATGAGTAATGTAATGATAACAGACGCCACTATACAGGGTTGTATGAAGATAGATAAAATAAAAGATGTAAAGCAGCCATGCATTCTTAAAAAAATATTACCAACTATGGTTCTGAACATGAATCAACATTGGATTAGATAATCTTTTCCCAAAAGAATGGTTTATATGGCTTGAGACAAGGTCTATGTCATACACCTATTCTCAAATGTCATTTAACATCAGATAAGATTTTATCTTCCACCATCCCAAGTGATAGGCCTCTAATATGATTCCAAGTCCACACGCTTTGGAAGGAACTTTTTGAAAAAAAAAAAAAATTAATTTTTAGTTGTAATTGAACACAATATTTTATTTATTTTATCAACGGTAGAGCGCTCGCCTAGCATGTGTGAGGCCCTGGGGTTGATCCTCAGCACCACATAAAATAAACAAACAAAATAAAGGTATTGTGTACCACCAAAAAATAAATATTAAAAAAAAGATTCCATTATCTTTAAATCTCTCCACACCAAATATATAATCATAGAGATGAAATTTTATGAAGCTCATTAATTGTAAGTACCATTCCCTGAAAATTTTTGTTACAACTAAGTATATCCAGTTGTATAGCTCTAGATCATAATATGAAATGTATTTTCCACTACACAGTAATCAAAAACTCTGAAAAACGATGTACTACAATATACTAATTTCCATAGTCTACTGCCTATGCAAAGGCTATACACACACAACCTAAAAATCTGTAGACTAAGTATTTGTGATATATTAGATTGAAGATAATTAAAGGTTTCAAGTGGATATAATTTTATAAATTCAGCAAAGTCACAGTTCACTTTACAGTATCATGCTTTTAGCACAGTCATCATAAAAGTCTTTTTTACCACAAATCTGTCCATAGTCAAGGCAGACAAAAAGGCGGGTAGAGAGGTCATCTGAACTCTGTTAGTCACAAATAAAGGTGCTCTTTTCTTTCCTCTGAACAGAGCTCTTGCTATTAATCTTAGGTATGTTTCCTAAGTGAAGGGCCTGACTTCACAGCAAACTGATTAACAGTCACTTTCCTTCTGGCATTATGATTACTGTCCTTATCCTGAACTTATAGGATTCCTTGTGTAAAAGCAGCATTTGGACAATGGATCAAGCTGTAGATTTCTTACTATATGGGCAAAGAAGGCCTGCCTCTGGCTAACTGCAACAAATGGAAACCACACATCATGAAAGGCAAAGCCTGTTCTCACCAGCAGCTCAATCTTCACCCTGAGCAAAATTCAGGACATCAGAGTTCTCAACAATAGCCTCCCTGAGAGGCTACAAAGAATAATTCTATTGGTATCAATGGCTGAAATATAACATCATTGCCACTTTTACTCAACCAAGACTGAACTGTAGAACTTTGTTTCAAAGTTCCTTTACCAATGAGTCCAAATAAGCCAAAAGGAAGCTGGATGAATTATCAGAAAAGGCAGGGAGGCAGGGCTAAATTCAGTGATACATCACAGCAACATACACTTTGTATGTGTGATAACCATACAAGTAAAATAACCATCCCACTGTTCATCTCCAAAACTTTTTCATCATCCCATACTAAAACCGCATTCACTGGAATTTTTCCCCCATAGATATTCTTTTTCTGATATTAACATACTCTAACTGCAACTATTTTTCCCTTCCAAGAATAGACCAATTCCAACTACTGAATGAACTTTGAGGTGGAAAAGTCAAGTTCTAAACCGGGCGCAATGGTACATGCCTGTAATCTCAGAGGCCCGGGAGGCTGTAGCAGGAGGATTGTGAGTTCAAAGCCAGCCTCTGCAAATTATCAAGGACCAAAACAACTCAGCAAGACCCTGTCTCTAAATAAAATACAAAAAAGGGCTGAGAAGTGGCTGTAGTTAAGGGCCCCTGCGTTCAATTAACTGGTACCAAAAAAAAAAAAAAAAGGCAAATTCTGTGAGAGTAAAATCTTTCTTTTACACCTTTTCTCATAAACCCAACTTCCAGTTTACAAGGAAACTGTTTAGAAAAACAAACTACATAACGGTCAGATGGTATATACCTGTAATCTCAGCGACTCAGGAGACTGAGGAAAGAGGTCACAAGTTCAAAAGACTTAGGCAACTCAGTGAGACCTTGTCTCAAAAAATAAAAAGTGCTGGAGATATAGGTCAGTGTAGAATGACCCCTGGGCTCAATCCCCAGTACTACCAAACAACAACAACTACACAATGAAGAAACAGAGAAATACAATATGTAGAGCATTTTGGAGTAGAGGCGGGTAATCAGGGATTGAACCCAGGGACACTTTATCACTGAACCACATCTCCAACCCCTTTTCATATTTTACTTACAGACAGGGTCTCACTGAGTTGCTTAGGGCCTCGCTAAATTGCTGAGGCCGGCTCTGAACTCACAATCCTCCTGCCTCAGCCTCCTGAGCCGCTGGGATTACATACATGCACCACCATGCCTGGCAGGCATGAGGGGCATTTTATAGGACAGTGTCATCCACACAAACATAATCAACTGATGTTTGAAAGACCAGAGGCAATTAGTTGAATATAAAAAGGATAGTCTTTTCAACAAATGGTACTGGAAAAACTAGACATTTGCACAAAGCATGTAAATAAATTGAAACAATGACCATATAATATTCAGAAAAACTAATTCAAAATGGATTACAGACCTAAACATAAATTGTGAAACTATTAAACTTTGAGAACAGGAGAAAACCCTATAAATTATTTAAAATGTAATCGATACCATATCATCATAAGTATAAAACCTTAGTGGGCTATTTCTTTTAAATACTTTTTTAGTTGTTCATGTACCTTTATTTTATATGTGGTGCTGAGAATGAACCCAGTGCTTCACACATGTTAGGCAAGCTCTCTACCACTGAGCTACAACCTTAGCCCCATATATATATATATATATATATATATATATATATATATATATATGTATATTTTTTTTGTATCAATTCTTCAAGATTCAATGTGTACCTTATTATCATCATTACATCTTAATTTAAACTAGCCACATTCACATTTCACATGTCCAATGGCTATATGTGGCTAGTTGTACTGGACAGCACAATTCTGT